CGGGTGACAGCCCGCTCCTTATCAGGCCTAGTCCCTGGGCCTTGACGCCCTCCTGCTTTCCTCTCCTGACTCCTCCACCTGTTGGGTGGGGTGGGGTGGGGGGGGGGGGGGTGAGGGCACTAATCCACCGTAGCCTGTTCTACACGCAGAATGCAGCTGGGGAGCAGGTGAGGGGATTACACACCTCAATGACGCCCATGCAGACTGTGGGAAGGAGACGTGCGCTTCGGCCTCTTGGGGCCTGTTCACGCCGCCACCGTATCACGGAGTCTCACCTGAGCTTTTATTCGAATACGTGTACCGATGTTTCTTTTTTCCTAAGGGGGTTAGGTCAGGCTAAATACTCCTCTGTATACCTCCCTTGCCAGATATGACATAAGTGGGCACTGCCCCCCCCAATGCATTCTGTTCTGAGATCAGATTAAAAGCTTCATGCTCCTCCACTTGCTCTCCCCAGCTCACCACCATCAGTAGATGAGGCAGTAATTAAGGTGAGCATCCCTGACACATAGCAGCAGGCCTCTGTTGACCTCACTGGGACAGCCTGACCCTCCCCTGTGTGGTGAACCCGCCCTGCTCTTCTCGGGGGCGGGCCTTCCTGCCTCCGCTCTGCTCAGTGGACGGATGCGGTCGGCAGGTCCCCGGAGCCAATCTCCAAGCAGCTTTATTAATTCCAGGCCTGTCTCTGCTCTTGTGGGACGTAAGAAAACATCGTGAATGCTGGCAAGAGATGCTACTCTGTCCCAGCCAAGGGCTCCAGGGGGGGATGTGGGAGAGGCTGTGTGTGTGTGTGTGTGTGTGTGTGTGTGTGTGTGCGTCACAGTCCATGCTCCACTTCTCTGTTTATTGTGGGGATCAAACCCATCCTTATGCTCTGGTCCAGTGGTTCATTACAAGAAGCTCTCATCCTTTGGGTGACCTCGATTCACTTGATTAATTACCTACACCATCAGTCCAAAGCGAGATGTAAACATTCAGTTTCCCAGGCCGTGAGCCAATGACCACGTGGTCAGACACCATTGGTTAATTGATGGACTGATCGGCTGCTGTGCTGCGGGTGCCATGGCGGGTGGGCTGGCAAGCTGCCTCTCCTAGATGCGGGTGGGGGGCGGTGCGGCACATTGGGGGGTGTTAACGAGCCCTGTGGTGCTTCAAAGCATGTTGAATCTGAAGGGTGCCATTTCTGAAGGGTGTCCAGCCCAGTACTACCAAGGTGTAGTACAACCTGAATGACGCCCCTGCTGTCCCCCCCCTCCCCCCCCGCAGACCCAGCCTGTGCCGAACCCCATGTCCTACTACATGCACCGCTCCCCCTGGTGGTTCCACCGCTTCGAGACGCTGGTCAACCACTTCATCGAGCTCATCGCGCCCTTCTTCACCTTCCTGGGCCGCCGCCTGTGCATGGTGAATGGTGGCCTGCAGCTGTTCTTCCAGGTGGGGGCGCCGTGGTCTGGCCTGGGGCAGATTCCAGGGCTGTGACCCCCCCTCTCAGTGAGAGTGGCTGTTGGTGGGAATTTAGAGCAGTTGTTACTGATGACGTCTCTCTCTTGGTGGGGTGGGCGGGGGGGTTTAAGTTTTGAATTAAGTGGTTCTTGACCCTGTTTCCGCTGTGTACTCTGCTTGCTGATGAAGAGTGATCACATGACCACACCTCGAACCCAGTGATAAGGGCTCTGCACTGCAGTTTGGTGAGACAAACGCTCCAGTCGGTCTCCGTTTAAGAGAGCAGCCTTAGGTGCTGAGGAGCTGGTAAATGCTTAAACGCTTCACGTTCTGCCCCGTTTCCACACCCTCTGTTCAGTTCAGCTGAGTTCAGCTTCTCTCTCTCAGGTGTCTCGTAGTCACTGCAGACGGATCAGCACCGCCTAGGCGAGTCCATTCAGTGTCAGACAATGCAGTGCTAGCTCTGTCCCACACTGCCACCCGGTGGCGGAGATGGGCAATACTCGCTCTGACTTTGGCATATTTGCTGGGGTCTGACTGAGATTTGTCAATTTGCACTAAAGTCCAAAGTGAGATTCCCTCCCAGCCCTCGTTGGCACTGGCCACACTGGTCTAGGGGGCTGTTTTGTGGCATAAAATGAGGTGAAGGGAACTGAAGAGCCTCACTTCCTGTCGGCTTCTGGGTCTCGCAGGCGACGCTCATCGTCAGCGGCAACCTGAGCTTCCTGAACTGGCTGACCATGGTGCCCAGTCTGGCGTGCTTTGACGACGCCGCCCTGGCCTTCCTGTTCAGCTCCGCCCCAGGCGGCGCCAAGCGGGCCGTGTGCAACATCCAGAGGCAGGAGGCTGCAGGGAGGGCGACACTGCCCACAAAAGGTGTGGGCTGCGGACAGAGACGTACACACACACACGCACACAGACACACACACGCACACAGACACACACAGACAGACAGACACACACACACAGACAGACACACACACACACAGACAGACACACACACACAGACAGACACACACACACACAGACAGACAGAGACACACACAGACAGACAGACAGACACACACAGACAGACAGACACACACAGACAGACAGACACACACACACACAGACAGACACACACACAGACAGACAGACAGCGAGTGGGGCGGGGGAACTGTAGTGTCCATCCAGTCTGAGTGAGGCTAAGCAGGATTGGGGCAACACCTCCCCTTCCCACCAGGCATGCTGGTCCGTCGTGTCTTGAACATCTCCCTGGCTGTTCTGATTGGCTACCTGAGCATCCCCGTGGTGCTCAACCTGCTCAGCTCCCGGCAGGTGATGAATACGTCCTTTGACCCTCTCCGCATCGTCAACACCTATGGGGCCTTCGGCAGGTAGGCCACACCCCCCGCGGCCCCGCCCCCTGCCAGTGTACCCAGTCTGTTTGTATGGTTGCGAGGTAAATTCCATCCTGAAAGAGATCCGGTCCTTAATGCCAGTCGAATTCCTACAATCCCCAGCATCACCAAGGAGCGGACGGAGGTGGTGTTCCAGGGCACGACCAGCGCTGATCCACAGGACCCAGCGGCATTGTGGGAAGAGTACGAGTTCAAGTGCAAGCCGGGAGATGTGAAGAGGAGGCCCTGCCTGATCTCGCCCTACCACTACCGCCTCGACTGGCTCATGTGGTTCGCCGCCTTCCAGGTCAGCCGCCCCGACCGGCCTCTAAGTAGCTGGTACAGCGCCAGCCTTCCCTGTCGGTACCGTGACGCCGTGTGCCAGGAAGCTTAGCGTGTTACATGCTAGTGCAGGCCAGCTCATGCTGGTTAGTTTACAGCGTTTCCTGCCGATGCAATAGGATATTTCCTGCTTAAGACCTAGTATTTATCGTCCCCAGTAGAACAGTCAGGTGTATAAACACTGTATTTTAAGAGTGACTCTCTTTGGATGAAAGTTCTAGCTTGTTAACCACGGCGCTTCCTGTGCAGACCTACGAGCAGAGCGAGTGGGTGATCCATATAGCCGGCCGGCTCCTGGCCAACGACTCCAGCGTCCTCTCCCTGCTGGAACACAACCCCTTCCAGGGCAGGACCAACCCCAGGTGAGTCTGCCGGGAACTGGCTGCCCGTCGAGTGCCGCTCTCCCGGAAGGGCGGCCAGTTAGATACACGTTCCTGCAGTAGCTCTGAATGGAAAGGCACTTTGTTAATAATTAATCCGCGTAATTATTTATATGTCACCATGGTGTTTGGGTGTCGTGCGCCCTCATGTGGCAGCCAGAGGTACTTTGCGTGAGGTGGGGCAAACAGGAAATGAAGTGTGGCACTTTTATTTAAGAAGCGGGGCTCTCACGTTATGATGACACGGCAGTGCTGTGCGGATAGTTACTGGTTACCTAAACTGTATGTAAAACCGTTTTTTAAACTGGGCCCTGTTAGCAAAACTGGGTCCACACATGACATGCTTCAGTTGCTCCTGTCCTCAGCTCCGTCAGTCATTATTCAGATTCAAATGCGGATTTGAAGGCACACGTGACTTCATCTAACATATTAAAGGTATTTTCAGGTTTTCAGCTGGTTTTCCTGCTCCGTTTGGCTAACAACGGCGTGTAAAGCACGTAAGAGTTTATCTAAAGTCACAACTTTTCAGTGGTGTAACTTTGTTGTTTGGCCTGTTGGATATGAATGGAGATGTTTACATACACACACACACACTCACACACACTCACAAGTGACTCGTTTTCCAAATCCTGTGGGCTTCCTTCAGTTTCCCTCCAAAATGTCCAGCTGTTGCCGCAGGAGACAACTGCGCGCTCAGCGTAACCGATGTCAGCTGCTGCGTGGATGTGAGGGCCTCAGGGTGAATGGCTGGCGAAGGCAAGGCCCCCCGAGGCCCTAATCCCATCCCCGCGGCGGGGGGCGGCACAGCTGTCACCCCACATCCCGCCCCGACCCCCACCTTTGCAGGACATGATGACATGACGATGACACACTTGATTTTTGACTTAAGATTTTTCTTTATTGTTTTTGACAGGTAACCTTAGTATAGAGAATCAAGGGCTGGACTTTCAGGCAGTTTGAGGTTTTAGTTGTGACTGTGTGTCGCCCCTAAATGTCAGCTTATTTAGCCTCGCTAACAGAGCCTGGCGTTTTGTTGGACTGTAGTGCCCTCTTGTGGCGGCTTTTCATATCACAAGTATGTGATCCCACAATGAGGCAATCCTTCGCAACCTAGTGGGTTAACAGTGCGGGATTTTTCCTGCCCCGCAGACGCTGCCCGTGTTGCCCGTCATTCCCTGCTCCCCCTGTCCCCAATGTCCAGGTGGGTTCGCGGAGAGCACTTCCGCTACAAGTTCAGCACGCCCGGCACTCCCAGTGCGGCCCAGGGCAAGTGGTGGATCCGGAAGCGACTGGGGCCGTACTTCCCCCCGGTGGACCTGGCAGGCCTCAGGAAGTATTTCTCATCCCGCGGCTGGCCCCACCCAGACATCAATTAAACTTCCAGAACGGCATGGACATGAAGTGTCCTCCAAGCTGTACCACAAGTGGAATGACTCACAGTATGAAGACTGGGTGGGCCGAGCCCATCCACATACTATAGAGGTCAGCTGGACCTCCGTCAGTTAAAGTGGACCATCTTATAAGTTCTGCGAGACGCTGGACAGAAACACTGTGGTCTTCAGTTGCCCTGGCCCTCATCCTGCAACCACACCAGTCCTCCTTTCTGTTTCTTCTGGATAATGTTTGTGAAAAAATATCCAAAATATAATAAAAGCACATTGATGGCCGAGCTCTGTGTGCCCAGTTCTGTGCCCCAGCAGCCGGGCTGTGACTGTTCTGAGGTTTATGCCCTTAACAGAGAGATGGGTGACGTTACTTCCCAAGATGAAGCCTTCGGCAGAAGCATCCCAGCTTATTATCTTCACAAATAAACACGTAGCTGTTCCTGTTAAGTGTGAAAGTGCTCAAATTACTACTGTTTCACATCTGTAGCTCACAGTTCAGTTTCATTCGCAGGTAACTTGTGCATTTTCTCTGTTCTTTCCCCCCCCTCCCTCATGCTTTTGCCCAAAAAGGGCTCTGTGTTTTACAGCTTCTGTAGTAATTAAAGCACATGAATGCACGGCCTTCATTTTACAAGGCCCTGTTTTCACCGTGTTGATAGGGGAAGATGGGAAATGAATGGAACGCAGGACGACGGAGAAACTCAAACACTGATCGAATCAATTCCTCTAAAGCTGCAAATCAAAACTGAGGTTCCACCCTGAAGCGTCAGGTGTCCTTCCTTTGGGGGATGATCCCTTTTGTGTTCCGACGCCCTTCGAATTGAGCGAGATTCATCTGGTAGCGAACGGGATGCGCATATTTTGGTTGGAATTATGGTTTTCGCTGGTTGTTTTGGAGTGTCCTAACAAAGTGGTGTGACCTCTGTTTCACAGTCCAGTGAACCGTAAGTCTTGTTGGAGTCTTTAGGTTTGAAATGCTCTGTCTGTCCAGCGTGATCAAGGTGATTGATAGTTACATCATGGGTTGATGACCCGAACAAGAGATCTATTAGAATAATAAATCTATTAGAGCCTCACTATAAAAGTGCAGCATGTTCGGATTGGTTCTAAGGAGGGAGAGGTCGGGGGCATAAGGATGCTGCCCCATTCATTACCCACAATGCAGCTCTCTGTCTATGTTACTAATTCCTGAGGTCCCCAGTACTTCTAAACCAGGGGTGGCCAATCAAAGGGCCGCTGTGTGTGTGTGTGGGTTTTCGCTGCAACTCCCTAATTAGATTACTAATTAGAGGACTGATTGGCTGAGAAGTCCTCACACCTGGGTTTGAACAGCTGATCTGCAGGTTTTCCCAAAAACCTGCATACACACCGGCCCTTTGTGGATAAGATTGGCCACCCCTGTTCTAAAGGCAGATAGCATCTCTTGATACTTAATGTTCAGTTCAGCAGCCTTTTGTGCATTTTTGCAGAGGGATCAAAACCAAAATCTGCAGAAAATCCCTATTCAGTCTTATGTTACATACTTCTAGATGATAAACTGTATTGGTCATATTTTTTCAGGTTATCACTCAGTAAAATGTGCAAGTTGTGCAGTTTGGCGTTGAGTTTGGCTCAGGTTAAACATTTACCTGTAAATGGTTTAAACAGGCGCTAGGGGGGAGTGCGCTCGTCATTGAATACTTACAAAACCTGCTGCTGCATTTTAGTCTGACTTGCGTCTCAAGCCCTTGGTTTTTCTAATGCGATAACGTGCCACTAATTCCGGTAAGTCTCTATTTTGAAACGGACCAAATGTTTTTGCGCAAAAATGCCGCCCCGAAATAAAAAGGGACATGGGTTTTAGTCGCAGATAGGTGGTGTTTGCAGGAGATACTCAAGTTACGGTGCAGCGGGGCACCGCCGGCCGCAGATTACGCGGAGCGCTGGGACGCGCGTGCGCATGCGCGAACCTAACCTCACAAATGCACTTGCAATTAATGTACCACACATGCATAGTATTATAGGGATGGTAATTGGCGTGAAACCCTACTGTAACAGGCTGGGTAGTACTTTGTCCGTTTTGGCGTGTTTGTTTATATAAAAAGACAACCTCTGAATAGAATAGAAGTGTTTTGAGCTGTATTGTGTGCAACATCACAGTTTTCTGTCGCCAGAACTAATCGAGTTGTCCATGTTATGTTAAGTCTCTTTCAATATAAGAAATAATAGGTCAGTCCTTAAAATGTATAAATCTTTTTTTAATAGTATCCTTTCGTCCACTGGCTGCGGGTCCCTCTTTGAGCGCCGCTCGTTATAATTAGCCTACATCTCAGTTGCAACAGCACGGATTGTTTTACATTTAACTAATGTTCATATATTGATTGTGCGCATCACAGGAGGACGCAGGTATAAATGTTTATCTCTCTTCAGGGCAGGGTGTTCTGAAACGATGGCGCTACACCTTTAAAGCGCCCGCTTTCCAACAAGTAGCTTCCCGCTGCTCCCAAAGGTGCTCTTTCGCTTCCCGGCGCCCGACGTGACAGAAATCAGTGGCACCGGCTAGACGCTACGATTAGGAGCCGTCACAGTGGAGCTGTGAGCGTTAATAAGCCCCAGCCCCATCCCCATCCCATCCCATCCCCATCCGTCCGTGCGCCATGCGTGCTGGAGCGAGGCAGCTGCGCCCGGAGTGAGCGCCGTGCATCGGCAAAGGTGGCAGGTGAAGTGACACAGAGACAGGCACCGGAGTCATGCTGAAGATGCAAAGGGGACAAAAAGTCCCTTTGCGCTGATCTGCAAAGCGAGAGCACCGTCCGGGAGCGTTTTTAACCGAGTAAAGCACATTATCTCGTCCTGTCATTTTTCTTTTTTTTTTTTAGCGTGAAGCAAATAGTTTGCTGGAAACATGTCCAGGAAAAAGGCAGGCAAAGCGAAGAGCAACCCGAGCGCGTCGCCCAAAAGCAGGGAGAGCGCTAAGCGCAGCGGAGGCGCTGGGAGCAGCGGCGATGCGCAGCCTGACGGCGCGGTCCGGCCGAGCAGACCGTCACTGAGCAGCAGCGGCGAGTTTTACGACCTGGCGTTTAAGGTAAGATGCTGCTCCTCGGTCACCTCCGGCGCGAAGGGTGCCGGAGGCGCAACTTACTGTCAGGGATCCGGGCAGCAGGCTTGGAGCACGAAGCGCAGGCTGTACCGCGATCTAGGGAAATATGCTCGTATTAACCTTACGGGAAAGGTGCGCCTCTTCCCTCCCCCGTACGCACCCTACATCCTTTGGCCGGGAGGGGGGTCCGGGCAGCACGTTTGCGGGGACACTTCGGGCTCACCTGATCATACCTCGGGTGCCAAGTTTGCTTCATGAAGCGTCCGGAGATCTTGGCTTTAAAATCAATTAATTACGGCATTCCTACAAAATGTCATATACAGAGTGATTGGAGTAATTTGCACATTTTATAACTTTTATTCGACGCAATTTTTTTCATGAAAGCAACTAGTGCACTCGTGACGTGTATTTTAATTAAATAAAATAAAGATTGGTGGGGGGACTCGCCATGCGTTAAAAGCCGATGCGCACTGTCACTGTGGCGTAACTGAATGTTACTAACTTGTGGGACGATTGTGGTAAATAGCCGTTACGTTATTGCTCACACAGTGGTAAATATACATTTACTATGGATAATGTTATTCGACTGGCTGTCTTTATTATAACTCGCTTCTTATATGCGCTTTTTTAAATTCAGAGATGAAATACCGTAACCCCACGGAGACCTGCGCGTCTGGGGGTGGGTGGGGGGGAGGTCGTAAGCAGAATGTCCATATAGCGCTTTAAAAGTGAGCCGTCGATATACAGCCAGCGAATCCTCCGAGGGGTTAATTATGCGCTGTTCACTGTTAGCCCGTTGGTGTGACCCCCCAGGCGAGATTGGGGTTGCTGGTACCGGACTCGGGTGTAGCCTGTGCCTTCTGCGACGCCCACCGTGCAGGTGTACATTCCCAGTGTAGATACCCAATCCCCCCCCCCCCCCTTTCCGGGGCTTTGCTGGACCGGGATCCCGGTATTCGGGCGCGTGGCTCCCTCCCTCCGCCGCCTTCTGCCGAGGCCTAATTGCCGTCCATTATGATGACTTTATTAATGCAGAATTATCTATATCTTCCCTGCTTCCCTTCCACCTACTTATTGAGTATTGTTACGCTTCATTTATACACAAAGTGACTAAATTAAATATCGGTAGGTTTTTCCTGACCTTGAGGTAAATTTCTCCCGGGAGAGAGATATTTAACTGGCTGAATTAAAACTTCATTTTCAGAAAAGGTGAGTAGATCAGGCAGACCATAGTACTATTTTCCCAAGAGCAGATAAAGGGAGAATAGCCCATTTATTTTCATATCACATTATGTAATTGATTTATATGACACATCTCATTGTGCCTGTAGTGCTGTAATGATACAGTGGCGAGACCGAGGTGCCAGTCAGCCTCATATTATCATGCTGTTGGCAGCGCCTTCCGCTTCCTCTCCAGGCGTGATGTTTGGGCTCCTGTGGCTGGGCAACGGAAAACGGAACGTTCCGGTACACCTAGCTAAGTGTGATGAGGGTGATCCCAACATCGGCATCTGCCCGGTTCATTATTGAGTTCCTCTAGCGATTTCTCTCCTAATAGTCACCCCATTGTGGCTCTCAGGTGTACGATGCCTCTTAATTTGTCTGTGGGGGGGAGACAGCAGGGGTCTTGTGTGTGTGTGTGTGTGTGTATGTGATTAAGGGTGGGGGGTGGTTATTGATTGTAGGCTTGCTGACATTCTGGATGGTCCGTCGGTGGCTTATAATCGTGTCCCGCTTTTGATTCCCCAGATCTGCCAGGCGTGCACTCTCATTGGTTGGTGTCGTAAAAATGCACAGAGTGAGATGGACACCAACACGGTTAACATACGCCATGAGACATTTGCACACTTGTAGGAAATTTGGAGAGACGCCCCCAAACACACAGAGGACCATTTGAAACCCTGAAGATTTGCGGAATCTTGACGAGTTTCTTGTTCTGTATGCCGCTGTTCGTCATGCCGAGGTGTGTGCTGCATTGCGGCGCCCCCTTGTGGCCGCACTTGGGGTTGATTCTCTCCCTTGCTCTCGTCTGCAGGTGATGCTGGTAGGGGACTCTGGCGTGGGCAAGACGTGCGTGCTGGTGCGCTTCAAAGACGGCGCCTTCCTGGCCGGGAGCTTCATCTCCACCGTGGGCATCGACTTCAGGGTACGTGACGCACTCGGAAGCGCAGAAGGCAGTGCCCACTCGCACGGGCGTGTGTCTGACATCACCGGGACACTCGACCAAGCAGAGAAGGATGCACAAACTCAGGCACATGTCTGAGATCGCAGGGATACTCGCACAAGCAGAATGGGATGCACAAATGCATGCAGGTGTGTGCTCGCTCGCTCGCTCACTCCGCCAGCTTCCTTTGCCCCCCACCGCTCTTCCCAGCTGGACAGTATCGACCCCTTAATAAGCGCACGCCTCGTCTTTCTCCGTCGGAGGTGTTTTTTCCTGAGCCAATCATAAGCTTCACTTGGAATGAAGGCGGGGCCAGCCTGCCCACAGAAGGTGGTTGGTTAACGCGTGGGGTGTTAAGGCAGTAAGTGACAGACAGGTGGTGGCTCCCTGTACACAGCTGTCAGCTTTAACATTGGCCCCGTGTAATGTGATGCGGTACAATGAGGCACTGAAGGAAAATATCCTGTTAAAATCAGATTCTGCTGAGCATATTGTAGCATATGGCATGAGTAAAAGCCCTCTGCCTCTCAGAATGGTGGCACATGTCTGTAAATACCAGCGAAAGGGCATCGATTCACGTCCTTCGGCGTCTGCACAGTCAGTATTACTGTGAGACTCTAACTTTTCCAGGAAACGAATTGAAGAATTGCTAGTGAACTGAGTAGTTTCTGCTTGTGAGGTCTGTTTCTTACATTCTATAGGTGAGGTTTTTATTCCCATAATGCTTTGAAGGAGACCTAGTAGAGATCTCTTTTTACTGGGTGATCATAATTTCTCATCTGTTTCCAAAGCTTGACTTTTACTATAGTAAATCAAATTACTTTGTGTCACTGGGCTGGCCAGCCGTCACACGGCTCATCGTTGTAGGGAAGGCTGCAAGCTGTATGGGGGGGAAAACTCGAAAAGTAAGTCTGATCTAATGGTAGGTTTGGTGGGGTGTAAACAGACTCCCCCTGGTGGTCAGTGCATGTCAGCGTCCTGAGGTCTGAGCACTGAGGCCAGTTAAATAACAGTAAGTAAATTAAGTGCTGCTACGTGTCATTTTCTGTGTGTGCGTGACGTCGCTGTGTATTTCCCTGTGTAAGGACGTGTGTGGCACCTGCTGTAATCCGTCTCCTTCCAGTCCACTCTTCCAGGGCGTGTCTGAACGCGCCTCGTCCGCTGTAGGACCCCCCCCCCAGGGCTCATTTCCACGCTCGTGTTCCTCCCATAAACAAAGCCACCGCCTGAGTGAGGTGTCGCTTCATCCCGTAGCTGTAGGGGGCGCCGTGCCACACAGAAGCTTCTGGCCTTGTGCTCGGCGGTCGTCCCGCCACCCGACGGGCCGTTACACGGCGTGTGCGTTCAGAGTGACGTTCTTCCTCTTGTCACTCACGTCACACCAGGGGTGTGTTTGTAATTGGCACCCGGCAAGTTGCAGGTTTGTGTATCTGATTGTGTGTTGCTATACGAGTGTCCACCAGGTGGCGTGGTGGTTAATGTACCTAGAAACGTCTTGGAATATTAAAGAAATTTATCAACATGTATAAAAGGATTCTGCTGCTTGCTTAATATTTGCAGCGAAACTGATATAATAGAGAATAACTGGAGAAACAGCTGGTGTGAACCCAGCTGAGTAACGGTGTTAAATTTGTTTGTATGATGGAGGCAATAACATTAATGATGCTGAGATTGTCTGACGGGTCGCTCCCCTTAATTAGACCTCTGCTGCTTCATGCATCACAACGCCACAGGCACGAATCTCTCCTGTTTAACGAGGCTCTGGATGCCCCAGCGCATCGTGGGCTGGGAACTGTCAGCACCGCTCTGAGCACCGGTAGGGGTGCAGTGAAACGGATCGGCAAGCCCCCGGGCTGCGGGAAACCCACCGTGAGCCGCGGCTGTGAACGGCAATCCGGCACTGGTAACTGAGCGACGGCAAACATCATCGGGTGATCTTTGTCGCCAGGTGTGTGTGTGTGTGTGTGTGTGTGTGTGTGTGTGTGCACACGCGTGCGTAACGGAGAGCAGAGCGCGAGGGCTGGGAAGTGAGTGCCCCTGCAAATGTTTACTGCCAGAACGATGCCGAATCTATTACGCGGTGAGAGGCTCCGCTTCAGCCCTGAGGGGATCCAGAAAGCCGTCCTCGAACCCGCTCCTGAGCCGGGATGCTGCACGGAGACTCAGAGTCACGGAGATGGAAATCTGCATGTAGTTGGGCTGTGAAAGCCAGCTTCCTGATAGGATCAGTGCGAGGTGTTCATGCTGTGCCCTACAGTGACTCTGCAGTCCCTTCATAGCACCCTCCAGTGAGTGTGTGGAGCATTATAGCCCTGCCACACCAACCCCCCCAACCTACAGTGACTCCGCAGTTCCCTCCTGGTGCTCTCCAGTGACTGAACAGTGAATTATAGTCCTCCCCAGTGCCCAACAATGACCCTACAGTTCCCTCACAGCACCATCCAGTGACTGTACAACGCATTACAGCCCTTCCACAGCTCCCCAGTGTCCTACAGTGATCCTACAGTGAACATTCAGCAAGTTACAATGATTCTCCTGCAGCTCAGCAGTGCTCCACGTCGTACGATTGCATTCTGACACGTCTGGTCGGCATGCGACAGCAGCGTGTATTTATGGGATATTCATGCGTCGGAAGGCGGAGATCCGCTTGAGCGCCGGGTTTCAGATGCAGTTCTGGATCCACGGCCCAAAATAGACCTGTTATAAAAAAATAAAAAAAAAAAAAGCAGAAGAAAGAAGTGGGCCATTCTGCATTTTAAACGGCTCCTTTCCTCAGACGAGCAGAGGAGTGAAGCACCTGCTCTTATGGAGCGCCGTTATCTGAGTGGAGCAGGCCGGGCCCTGCAATGCTTAGCCGAGGGGGCGGGGCCTCTCCATGCCATCACACTCGGCAGGTGGGGGGGGGGGCAGGGTCGGTTTGTTTCTGTGGCCCCAATAAAAAAAGAATTCTTCAGGGCCCTCTGCGCCCCAAGTGTAGTGACAGTTTATGACCAACAGAGGGACGACGGGATTGAGTGGCAGGTAAACGGCACTGCCTGGGGAATCGAGCCATCCTGATAGGTGCCACACGGAATGTTTGTTTTCCTATTTTGTCCATCCTGGCTGGATGGTGGGGGTGGGAGTGGGGGTGACCTGGGGCAGTAAGGAGGGGGCATCTGTAGCGGCCATGACTTGTCCTCCATTGCGGGAGGTGAGATGCAGCCTCTGCTCAGACACACAGGCAGTTTGCAGGAGCAGAGCTGAGTGATTTGAGGTCAGGAGAACCTCAGTCGAGGTTCTCCTGACCTCTCCTGACCTTTTGGAGGGATCCCCTCCAAAACCAGCATCCTGCGATCAGAGAGCACTGAGCTCGCGCACACAGACACAGACAGACACTCAGTCACACAAACACTCGCACACACACACAGATAAATGCCTTTTTGTTTTTCTGTTTTTGTGGGCACTTTGCGGTTTCAAACCACGTTCCAACAAAACCCTGGTGACATTTCTCTTTGCGAAAGAGTGGATTATAAATGGTGGTGATTGTCTGTCTGAATAAGCCCACAGAACTTTTCAGGGTTTAACACCTGTGGGAATGTTTGTGGAAAACGCATCGACACAACTACAGCAGACCCTGCCCCCACGCACACACCCGCAGAAATCCACACACTCCCATCTTGCGGTGACCATTTTGCTTAGATTTTGCCAGTTTATGGGGCGATATCTAAAAAGGCCACTGAACTCGAACTTGAAAGCCCAATTTCAAAGCCCCCTCAAGTCCCACCCTTCTGCATGTGAAGTACCAGGTGAGGCTGTGACCTCCCCTCTCTGGTCCCGGATCAGGACCGGGTGGAACCCCAGAACTAGAACTGATGCGAGTTCTTGGTGCAGTGGAAACCAAGCCGAAAGGTTCCCATGGTACCAATGTGGGTTGTGACACTTTTACTAGTTGGATTGATTCTGATTTTGGGATTTGTGAGAATAAGCCAGCGACACAGTGTAGCAATTTTCCAGAGCTAGGATTTGAAAGTGCTGTGAATGAGAAGGTGCCTTTAGTAAAGACGGATTTGTCACAGAAAAATACCGCCTGTCCCCGTGTCTATACCCAGGTCTGTGTCCCTGTCTGTCCTCCTGTCTGTACCCAGGTCTATGTCCCTGTCTGTCCCTGTCCCTGTCTGTCCTCCTGTCTGTACCCAGGTCTGTGTCCCTGTCTGTCCCTGTGTCTGTCTGTACTCCTGTCTGTACCCAGTCAGTATTCCTGTCTCCCTGTGTCTGTCCTCCTCTCTGTACCCCTCTGTGTTCCTGTGTGAGTGGTTTCCATGCTGCACATTGAAAGTTGCAGCGGTTCAGGGTTCAGTTCTTTCAGTTATATAAGTTCTCTGTCTCTTGTAGACCTCACTCATTAGTTTTTGTAAAATGTGATAATTTCCTTACATAATGAACAATTACTCGCTTTCTTCCCTCGCTGCCAAATCGGCTCCCCGCCATCAGTCTGGCCTAAGTAACAGACGATCACCAGCCACATGAAGTGACCGCCTTTCCAACGAGAACCCCGTAATCCGCGGGAGACGGACGGTGAGCCTCGTTGCTGTGGCAACCCTCTGTGTCGATCGACTCTAAGAAGTGGTAAAGTGAATCTCAGCAGTGTGATTTGCAGTCGCTGACGCCCATCGCCATGGATACAAAGTGGCCCTCCTTTGTTGTGGACCGTGACCCTCGCTGGTGTATAATGAGAGTACAGTTCATGCTCTTTATGTATGGCTCAGGTCGTCACAGAGCCAACGCGGTAATCTTTCGATGGCCACCTGCTGATGGTCCTGTTTGCTTCAAGAGCTATGATGATCATTTGGTTGGTCCTTCTGCATTCGAGTCTGCCCCTTGTCTGAGCCGTGAGGTACAGCGCCTCTCAGATTACTGAGTTCCGTCTTCGACTAGGGATGGAAGCGTGCAAAGGTGACGTGATTCCAGAGGGTGGAAGAGGAGGAGAAATATGGGCAGGATTT